ACGCGAATTTTGGGCAGGCACGATCGTGCCTCCCTCCAGGCACGATCGTGCCTGGCTGGCAGTAACTCCGCGGTGCTTTCTCTTCACGCACGATCGTGCCTGACTTTGACGGCACGATCTTGCCTACTTAACTTCCAAATTTGGCAATGCTTCCTTCATGAAAGTTGTAGATAATGAAGTCTTCTATCCACCCCAAGTTGCCGAATGTGATTTGAATCATCCAATCAAGAGATATGATCAAAACGTTGGAAGGTGTGTTTCTGAAATCGCAGCAGAGATCATCTGATTTCATCGTCTGTTTTCACATTCTTCCTCTCCGATTCTCGCAAAGGTGTCTTCATATCATTTGTAGCCCTTGAAGTTAGCTTTCATATGGAACTTGAATAGTGTACATTGGATGTTTCTACAAAGAGATATGCTTGAACAATTGACAGAAGGTCATCCTGATCGTCGTTTTGAAGCTTCATTCATCGTTTTTTGACCCCGTAGCCAACCCTAGAGCTCTTTTTCCTTCAAATCTTCAACGTGAATCTTCCGGTGACCTCCAAAGCTATCAAATCATTCTCAAATGCTTCTCAAATCATCCCGATTGTTCCTCAAGTGCCGGTACCGGGCTCAAATTCCCTGATTTTGACTACAAACAACACAAAGCTCGAACCAACGCCCGGTAAACATAACTTGAGCTAAAATTGAGACTTGCAACACCTTAAAGCTGGGAAAAATATCAAAATCTAATCCCAACACACATCAAATGCATGTCTAAATACGGACTTATCATAAAACAATTATAATGGTTGAAATTCCAGTATAAATAAATGTTATTTAGATTTAGTATAATTATTTTTGAAGGTTACATTGACATGTGTCATTCTATTATGTACCATTGACACGTGTTACTCTTTTAGCTAATGTTTGCCACATGGCACTACAAAAGTTCCCTTTCTTATATACACGTTTACACTCCCTAATGAGGCATTTTTGGGGCAAACATTTAACGGGGCGGTTTCGGTTTTATGTGTACCCGTCCCAATCCGCCCCGTTGCCATCACTAATTATATTACTATAATTTAGAAATTAAATCACAAAAGTATAATATTAGGTTTTTGTTTTACGCTTTTGAACGTTTTTCATCTTATTTTTATTTTGAAATTTAACTTAGAAGTTTTCAGATTTTCAACTCTTATTATGCTTTTTTTGCATTTTAAAATTTTCAATTTTTGGCAAAAAAAAATTCAATTTGAGTTTTTGATCTTTAAAATTAATTTACTTTTTATACTTTAATGAATTTAATGAGTTTTTTTTTTACATTTTTTGATATTTAAAAAGAATTAAACGTGCGTACAATGAAGAATAGAGTTTCAACTCTCAAGTAAGTTAACCAGATCATTTATACTCTGTGCTTGGAAAGTCTATTTGTGAAAAGAAAGTATCTTTTAGTTTATTTTTAAAATAACTCTTCAAAAGTGAAAAAAAGTGATATAACTTTCATTTTTAGTCTATTTGTGAAAAATTCCCAAACATATATAAACATCAATGTTGTCCTCCATACCCAGGACATCCATAGATCCATAGTAAGCTTGTGAGCTACTGCATTGACAGGCCTCCGATGGAACTTCAATACTCGTTGAGCTAAGCAAAATGTGTCTAGCATCTTCAATGACGACATCTAAATATAAATTGTCTTCCTCCTGTAAAACCCTTCTAATCACCACCAAAGAATTTGTTTCAATCTTCACCTTGCTCCAGCTTTGTTGACTTAACCATTGAAGTGCCACCCTAAGGTCCAAAGCTTCTCTCATGGTCGCATTCTAGCCTGTTGTGGATGTACATCTGCCTCTCCCAATAAATTTACTTGAATGGTCTCTTGCCACCAGCCTCATGCTCTCTCCCCGTCTATTATCCAGAACTGAATCCACATTAACTTTGATTTCTTCGCTTCATGACTTCTTCCTTACAGCTTCGAACGAACTAACTTGGGTCTTCTTACTAATGTCTTCTTGTGCCTTTCACCACCCTTTTAGCATCGAGTTGCCAGCTATGAGCACCTCTTAACAATTAAAAAATTCTATACTTTCAGATTGCTTTATTTCAGAACTTTCATATGCTCCACAGTGTGACACTGAAACGTATAGTTCGTCTTCCAGCAAATTATCAATTTTTTAATACAATCAATTAGTGATTCCCCGTACCTTAAAAAGATGCTCCCAGTCTCGACCACACCATCGAGGTGATACACATCCTGTAAAAATATGGAGCTTTATCTCATCCTCCATGCCGCAAAGCCGACACATGTGACTAATCTCTACCCTCCTTTTCCTCAAGTTATTCATTATGGTATTGATCGAATTAGAGAAGTAATTTAGGGTAGAAATTGTATTGATTTCCCTTACTCTCTCGGCTGATACATGCGTATATTTATATACAATTTGGAAGCAAGTAAATAACCCTTGGCCCAATTAACATGTAAAACTAATTACAAATAAATACAAGCCCATTAATGATCTAATCCCCACCCCCTCAAGTTGGAGCATGCGGATTAAGAATGCCCACCTTGCAAAGTAGGTGATGAAATTGCCGATGGCCGAGAACTTTTGTAAAGATATCTACTAATTGATCAGTAGTGGAAACATGACGAGCATCAATCAACCCGGCTTGAAGCGCATCGCGAACATAATGACAATCAACCTAAATGTGTTTAGTCCGTTCATGGAACACAGGATTATGTGCAATGTGAAGAGTGATCAATCCCAAGTGTAAGGAGAAGGGCCTTGAGCCAACGTAGTTCAGCGGTGACTGCCGCCATGGAACGATATTCAGCTTCAGTAGAGGATCGTGAAACCGTGTGTTGTTTCTTAGTCTTCCAAGAAATAGGAGAGCCACCAAAAAGACTATCCAGCCAGTCAGAGATCTCCGAGTAAGGGGACAACTTGCCCAGTCAGAGTCACACCATCCGGTAAGAGATAAATCAGAGGAAGCATGCAAAAGGATGCCCTGACCAGGAGAACCCTTAAGATACCGCACCACCCGAAGAGCCGCATGCCAATGCCCCTGCCGCGGTGCCTGCATAAATTGAGAAAGAATATGGACTGCATATGCCAGGTCGGGTCGTGTAAAAGACAAATAAATGAGGCGACCAACAAGGCGCCTGTAGGACTCCGGACGAGATAATAAGTCACCTTTCGCAAGAGCCAAAGATTGATGTTGTTCCATAGGAAAAGATGAGGGTTTAGCCCCAAAAAGCCCAGCCTCAGATATGATATCCAACGCATACTTCCTTTGGCAAAGAAAGATACCATCCACACTGCGAGCTACCTCAATGCCCAAAAAATACTTTAGTACCCCCAGGTCCTTCATATGAAAGCATTTGTGCAAATAATTTTTGAACTGAGACAAAGCAGAGTAATTATTGCCAGCAATAATCAAATCATCCACATAAATCAAAATATGCATGCGAACATCACCCTGGCGATACGTGAAAAGAGAATAATCTGAATAAGACTGAAGAAAGCCATAAGTCTTCAAGGAAGTAGCTAATTTAGCAAACCAGCATCGGGGGGCTTGACGCAGCCCATACAAAGATTTTTTCAGTCTACAAACTAGGTCTGGCTGAGAGGGAGTAAATCCGAGGGGGAGTTTCATGTAAACCTCTTCAGATAAATCACCATGCAAGAAAGCATTATGAACATCCATTTGATGGAGTTCCCAATTTTTAGTCGCTGCAACAGCTAAAAACAAATGAACAGTAACCATTTTGGCAACGGGGGCAAAAGTCTCATTGTAATCAATACCTGCCTGCTGATGATTCCCAAAGACAACTAACCGTGCTTTGAGCCGCTCAATGCTCCCATCGGATAAGTATTTCACCTTATAAACCCACTTGCAACCGAGCGCCTGTTTGCCAAGAGGTAATGACACCATCTCCCAAGTGTTATTCTTTTTTAGTGCCTGAATCTCATTCTGCATGGCCTCGCGCCAGCCCGAGTCGTTCATAGCTTCACGAAAAGAACGTGGTTCATGCCTTGCGAGAATAGCTCCAAGAAATACACGATCTATAGGAGAAAACTTATCGCAATTCACATAAGAAGCTATAGGATAACGCGTACCTGAGGAACGAGACGAAGCGGGCGGGGTCGGAGATGGGCTCAATGTCGCGAGATGGTTCGTGACGAAATCCTATAATAGCACGGATGGCCGTTTAGTTCGAAGTCCTCGACCAAGAGCAGGTGGGTCCACGGGTGCAGTGTCAGCAGTAGAGGCTGTATGAGCTGCCGAGTCGGGGGTTATGGGGATATCGGTGACCGTGGCAGATTCAGCAGTTGGCGGATCCGGATCAAGCAAAACGGGGGTGTCATCATGCATGAGCTCGGCAGGCTGGCTGGGTGCATCCGACGGTGGGGAAAAAGGGAAAATATCCTCGTGAAACGGGACGTCACGTGACACAAAAATATCTCCCGTGGCATAATCATATAATTTCCAACCCTTTTTCCATATAGGATATCCCACAAAAACACAGCGCCGACTCCGTGAAGCAAATTTATCACCTTGGGAGTGCAAATTATGAACGAAACTTAAACACCCAAACACCCTCCAGTAATGAAAATCGGGTGGTTTACCCGTAAGAACCTCGTACGGTGTCTTTCCTTCCAAGAGTCCAGATGGGGTTCAGTTAATAAGATACACCGCAGTTAATACACACTCGCCCCACAAAAAATAGGAATATTAGCTTGGAACATTAGGGCACGAGCAACGTTAAGAATATGACGATGCTTGCGTTCCACCCTACCATTTTGTTGAGGGGTGTGTACACAAGAGGTCTGAAATATAATGCCACGTTGTTCAAAATAAGAGAGCATGCATCTAAACTCTGTCCCATTATCACTACGAATAGTTTTAACTGGCACATCATATTGTTTTTCCACCATAGTAATAAAGGACAAGAAAAATCGACCCACTTCCTTTTTGTCACGCAATAAATACACCCACACAGCCCTTGAATAATAAGCAACCAAAGTCATGAAATAGACAGCATCACAAGTGGACGGGGTTTTATAGGGACTCCACAAATCACACTGAATTACCTCCAAAATATGACTTGCTTTATTAGTACTAAGGGGAAAAGAATCACGCACTTGCTTTGCTTGTGGACACACCTCACAAACATTATTCAACTTTTTCTTAGAAAAACTAGAACAAACAGGAGGTAAAAGTTTAATAACTCGGTCAGATGGATGACCCAAACACCGATGCCAGAGTTCAAAATCAGATAATTGCGTTGTAGTGACAGCATGCAGAGCAGGTATCCCACGAAAATAATAGAGCCCATCTCGCCTTTCACCGGCTCCAATCAGGTTCCTCGAGCGCATGTCCTGTATAGCACAAAGTGAATTAGTAAAAATCACAGAACATGAAGCTTGGTCAATTAATTGAGATACAGATATGAGGTGACAAGCCAATCTGGGAACAAATAAAACATGATCAAGAACCAAATTTGATGTGAGGTGCACCCGCCCCTCTACAATTGCAGCTACCGTCCGGCCATCCAGCAGTCCAACTGGACACGGAGGAATACTAGCCCATCCATTAAGACACGTCAGGTCTCTAGTCACGTGGCGAGACGCTCCTGTGTCAATGATCCATGGTAAAACGGAGGACTTACCCGACATTCTGTCACTCGAGCCACCATCTGCATTGATCAAACGTAAAAGTGCTTGAACCTGTTCACGACTTAATTCACTTAAGCCATTGGCCGAGCTACTGGAAGAGGATGCGTCGGCACTGTGAGTCAGCAAGGAGGGTGATATAGCGTGAGTACGAGCCCCCCCTCCACGACCTGTTGCATTCCCCTTCGCACGGTTTATTTCTTCCCACCAATCCGGGTACCCGTGCAGCTTAAAATACGTATCAATCATGTGCCCTTTCTGTTTACAGTGAGAGCAGGTAAGCTTCTCTCGTTCTCCCCGATCCAGGCGCCCCTTTCCCGCACGGTCAGTCTGCACAGCAAACGCCTGGACATCCACCGCTGCGTTCTTCTGACGAGCAATGGCACGTGAGTTCTCCTCTTGGAGAAAAGCCCGATGAGCTCGATTTAAATTTGGCAGAGGGGTCTGTGATAAGAGGTTGGAACGTACTGTCCCGTAGACTTGGTCATCAATTCCGACCAAAAACTGGTGGAATTGTTCCTCGTCACGGTCAGCCGCAAATTTCCCGGCAACCCCGCACGTACACAGTCTGCAGGTACATGTGTGTACTGGTTTCAACCTATTCAATTAATCATAAAATCCCATGAGAATGGTGTAATATGCATCCATCGACATAGACTTTGACTGCTTGCAACCCGTAATCACTACTCTGAGTTGCTGCAGCCGAGGGTCATTAGCAACACTGAACCGACCCTCGAGATAAAGCCACGGTGCTCGAGCTTCATCATGAAACGGAATCGACGCGGCCACCGAGGATTCCATGCTCCGCAACAGCCACGAGACCACCAAGGCATTCAGAGTTTCATATTCAAGCAATTTCAAAGCTTCAGTTGGCTTTTTGAGCGTACCGTCTACAAACACGTACTTCCGCCGTGCTTTCAACGAAAGTTTAATTCCACGAGACCAGGCCACGTAATTATCACCTTTGAATATGACGTGTGTGATAACGTTTCACGGCTGATCCCCGAAACTGACATAATATGGCGAAGTTGGATCAGTCATGGCAGCCGAGGAAGAGCACGCTGGTGCTGCTGCTTGTTGCCAATGAAGAAGACTGCGCCGAAGCCTTTATGGATCTGATAACATGATCGAATTAGAGAAGTAATTTAGGGTAGAAATTGTATTGATTTCCCTTGACTCTCTCGGCTGATACATGTGTATATTTATATACAATTTGGAAGCAAGTAAATAACCCTTGGCCCAATTAACATGTAAAACTAATTACAAATAAATACAAGCCCATTAATGATCTAATAGGTATAAAAAGAGCATGATTTTTTGGGGTATAAAAAGATTCCACATTTTTGTCCAGCTTAGTCAGCAGTCCTCTGTAAATTTCCCCCGAGTTAACCAATATCCGCTCTTGACCATGTGTTTTTCACTCAAATTTGACCACGAGTAATGCTATACTCGGCTTGTACTTACAGGAATAGACATAGTGACCTCGCGTTAATCATCTGAAAAAATCTCATAGCCTGGTGCCCAATCCAGTTTCTTCCATCTTCTTATATAAAAGATGTGACATTCATGTCTGCTATCCTGGAGGCGGTGGGATAGTAATCACGAATCAAGTCATCCCCCTCTACAGAAAATCACCATTCCTTCCATACAAAAACACTATGGCCGTTCACAACTTTCCTTTGACTCCCTTCTCTAATAGCCCTTGCATATGTCTAGTGCTCCTCCAAATAAAGGAAGGGCTAGTCCCCACACCAGCCTACAAAAATAAGAAAACATCTTGCTGTAAAGATATTGCGACTAGAGATTCCAAAGTTTCAATCAGCCGTGAGGCTTGCTTGCCTAACATGGTTTGGTTGAAATCTCTCAGGGATCTATAGCCAAGCCCCCTTGGTGTTTAGGTTTACACAAATTTGGTCATCTTGCCCATCTTTCTCCATCCTTTTCCGTTGAAATCCCACGTGCCACCAATACCCGTTCATGATTGTTTCAATTTCCGAGCACAAATCCTTGGGCAGAAGAAAACATTATAGCATAAGTTGGCATGACATGTATCACTTTAGACATGATATCATGTTCCGCTTTAGACAGGAACCTGTTATTCCAATTCCTTAACCTCATTATAGTTATTTTCTCTTTCAGATAGCCCAAAATCTCAATCTCATGTCTGTCAATTAAGGATGTAATCCCCATATAGTGAGAGCTATTCCCATCCTCACCGACATTTGGACTAACCAAGATGGTGTATTTAGCAAAATTTTCCTTCTGCCCCTTATCTCAACTCGTACCTCTTTAGCACCCTTTTAAGTGTATCACAGTTTTTTTCTCTTGCTTTAACAAATAGATAACTATCGTCAATAAAAAAAATAATTGCGATACTTTGGGGGACCCTTTAGCCACATGGACCCATAATATTGCCATTACCTTTTGCTGACTAATTAAAAACGCTTAAACCTTCTGTCACAAGAATAAAAAGATAGGGTGATAAGGGATCTACACCTTATATCCTTAGCAGGATTCACCGGGTTAATCATGTTCCTGTCAAACGGGATAAAATATTCCACACTCAGCTCTCTATACACGTACTCCCTTATCAATTTAATCCATTTTGGATCAAACTTCATGAGAGGTAAGATATATTGTTTCAAGATAAAGGCCAATCCACTCTAACATAGGTGTTACTAATATCTAATTTAAAAGCTACAGAACCCCCTTCCTTGACTTTTTCATTTTCAAGAAATGAAAAGTCTCGAAAGTCACCATAATATTATCAACAATGAACTAGCCCGGAACAAAAACACTTTGATCTTTAGAGACAATGCTTTGAAGAAAGCCTTTCATATGGTTAGCTAGGACTTTAGGTGAAAAAAATTATACATCACATTACACAAAGCTATATGTCGTCAGTCTCCTAAGGAGCATGACTTGTCGTTTTTGGGAATTAAAATTATCAATACGGATTACCCCCCTCAGGATGCTTCACAACGAGAACATATGTTGACAGAAGGCTATAATATCGTCGCCTATGACATCCCAATAATGATTGTACAACCCTGGATCCAGTCCATCTTGTCCTGGCGTCATGTCCAGGTGCATGATAAAACAGCTCTTTTAACTTCTAATTAACTAATTGGCTGCAATAGTGCACTACTTTGCTCGTAAGACAATTTGGCAACTCCCAGCAACTCAGTGTGATTTATATGTACTAAACTCAAAGAGTCGATAAAATGTCCCAAGATAGCATTGCCTATAATTGTTCTCTATTATTGGCCTCCTACTAATTCGCCAGGCGCAGACCCTTCATATAATCCTTCTTTTGCGTTGTTTAACCAAATTATGAAAAAATGTGCTTTTGTCTCCCTCTTTGAGTCAAAAGAGATGTTTTTTAGTTAGTAAAACGTAGTTGGCTAATTCGAAGAATAATTAGACCACGAGTATCGACTCTCAAGGAGTGGCAAAAAGGAAGTTTTAAATACGATCCGTGATCACAGGCTAACACAAGTCATGGTAATCTTTCCGAACAATAATTTTTTGGGGGGGAATAAAAAAAAAACTAACTAACAGCGAGTGCAAAAATAAATAGAGAAAAGAATAATTAAATTGATTCTAGATTTTAAAATAGGGTTCACATAGGATGGTTCAGGTTTTGAGTGTTCTTTCAGGATTAGAATTACGTAAATTAGCTTTCCCTGGACAGAAAATGAAATCAATTCTCATAGATAAGAATTAAATCAAATTGTCACAATCCTAACTTACTTCTAAGATCAGATTATTTGTATAAGACCCGCGCTAATTTAACTCAAATTCTCATAGACAAGAATTGAATTAAATCCAAACATTCATATATGAGATGATCAATTTCAAATTTGTATAAGAGTTAATTATCAAAATAGGACTAAAAGCCACTCACTTTGCACAAATAGGACTAAAAAATAAACTATGTTTCCATAGGACTAATTATGTGTGTCTTGGACAAATATACTCTTATACCTATTGGAATGTTTTAATTCATAATAAAATAATAAAAAATAATAAAAATTCGTAAAATATACCAAAAAATTAATAAAAATATTTTACGTAATAATAAATTAAAAAAAAAATTGAATTTTTTTAAAAAAATAAATAAATAAATTAAAAAGAATTTTTTCATCACCGCCGCCTCTGCCGCCCCAGCAACACCACCTCCAGTCGTTTGGAGAAAAAATGCCAAATTTTTTATGAATTCGATAGTTTTGGCATAAGTCAGAATGATTTAAGATGGCAGAATAAAAATGTTGGCATTCTCAAAGAGAAATATGCCATATTTTTGGCATTTTCAGAAAAAAAAAATGGCAGTTTTTAGGAAATATGGCACTTTTTAATGGTCGGAGGTGGTGGTGCAGGGAAGCGACGCCACCACCTCCTGTCACCGGGGGGAAAAAATGCCAAAAAAATTATGAATGCCATATTTTTGGCAAAAGTCAAAAGGATTCAAGTTGACAGAATGAAAATGTTGGCATTCGCATAGAGAAATATGTAATTTTTTTGGAATTTAAAAAACAGATGGCATTTTTTACACCGATCGGAGCTGGTGGTGCAGAGAGGTAGTACAGACGGTGGGAGAGGCATCCATATTGTTTTAATTTTTTTATGGAGTTTTACTATTTTTTAATAATTTTTAAAAAAATATTTATTTTATTTTTTATTTTATAAAAATTTTCTTAATTTTTTTTATTTTTCTACGAATTTTTGAATTTTTTTCGAATTTATTATGAATTAAAAATTTTATTATGACTTTTGATTATGTTTTGCTCATATTTAAAGGAAGGGTAAGAATGAAATGAAGAAATATGTATGTTTCCAATAGGACCAATACGGTCCTATTTTGGAATAAAAAACATACAAGTCTTATTATGAGTTTTTGCCATTGTTTTAGTCTTATTTGAAGTACTACGTAATTTCTAAACTTTTAAATACATCTCAAAAAGAAAAATGTAGCAAACTTTAATATACGGAGGGAGTATATGTTTTGAATTTTTTATGTTTTGCTATTATTATTATTATTAAAAAATCATATTAAATCATGAGAAGAGAAAGAGTCGAATTGGGCCTATAAAATACGATAGTATGAAGAATACTCTGTTAGTTTGTGCGTACGACGAAGGATTTGTTTACGTAAAGATCCATGAGATGAACGGCATTTGATGGCAACGAGCATCAAACCGCTCTTCTTCCACTCGAAGCTCCTCTGCATCTCCGTCCTTTACCTCCTCACTGTTCTATCCTTAGCTCTTTACACTCTTCTCTCCCCCGCCGCCCTCTGCCTCTTCCGCTCCTCCCCACACGATCCCATTCAGACCCCTCTTTTCTCCTACAACTCCTCCTACGGCGAGCACAAACACGCCCTGCCCACCACCCGCCCCTCCTGCACCTCCCCTGTTTTCTTCTCCGGTACGGTAAGCCTTTTTCATCTTTTCAATGATTCTTGATCGGCTAGCTGAGAATGGGTCGCCGCCGTTTTCGCAGATTATCGGGAGGTCGTGACGGAAATCAAGCGGCTTTCTCGGAACTCGTTGGGATTGGGCTCGGGAACCCTGAAATACGTTCATGGCGAAGGGGAAAGTTTCGGCGGCAATCTCTCCACCCAAACGCGGTTCTCGTATTTCGGTCATGCCGATTCGGAAGAACAAGTCCCTTGCGGATTCTTCAAACCGTTCCCTGTTAGCAAATCGGGTTTGTACAAATGGTTTTGGTTACTTTTCTTGAAATCCTTAGATTATATCTCAAGTTCTTTTGGGATGCATCTCTTACGACTTACGATCTCATTGAAAAAAAGCCAAGGCCAATTTAAGATAGAATCATACATGTACGTACCTAATTTCATTAATATATATAGAATATATATATATATATATATATATATATATATATATATATATTGTTTTAAATTGGAACATATTAAATGTAGTTTCGTTATACACAAGCATTTCTTGTCGCATGCATAATTACTGCAAACCCTAAATGAAACATGCGTGATATGCACTCAAATGATAGGACGAAAATTGACATTTAGGCTACAATGATAGCTGATTGATACTCCGTATTAAACAAGTGAAAGGATGTTTTCACTTGGTCGGTTTTCGGTCCCAACCATACCAGATCACATTAAACTTGGCTAATTATAAAATATACAGAGACCAAATTTATACAAGATCAAACAAGTTTATATCGGAACAGATCAGACTAGATTAGAAAATTTCATTCCAATTAAAAACATCTTAAGGGCTACTATAGGTGTTTTTAATGGACTTGTTTTAGTTCGAGATCATATCACACAAGACTTAAAGAGACCGGACTCGAAAAGACCAGATCAAACTCGACTTTGACAGTTGTAAAATACAATGAAACCAAACATCTACCAAACCAGATCAAATTAGACCTAAACAGACCAGACTAGAAATTTCAATCAAAATTAAAACATTATAAATTATGTATGTGTGTCAAATAAACAACGAGATCACAACCACACAAATATACGTACATAGTACTAGCTACCTCCCTCTGTCTCTTAAAACATTGCCAACTTTTCTTTTTTGGATATCTCATGTACTTTGCCACTTTCCCTTTTAAGTAAATAATAATTTGTTGTTCCAGTAAATTATTTCTCCACTGCGCAAACCTCAACCACACAATTTTTACTTTATTAATACATGTGCCAGTCCAACTTCTTACTAGTTTAAAATGGTTTTTTTGATAGATGAGATGGCTATGGAAAGATGCAATGGGGTAGTGGTAGTATCAGCAATATTCAACGACCATGACAAAATCCGGCAGCCAAAAGGCATAGGATCAGACACTTTGAGCCTTGTGTGTTTCTTCATGTTTGTGGATGACGTGACCCTCGATGGCCTTGAAAATTACAACTTAATAGCCTCAAGAAAATCCAAAGATATAAGTGTTGGAGTGTGGAGAGTTGTGAAGGTTGCTACTTCTGCTAATAATAAGAAGGCTTTGCTGTACGAGGATGCAGCCATGAATGGAGTGATTCCAAAGTACTTGGTCCATAGGTTGTTCCCAAACACTAAATTCAGCATTTGGGTGGATGCAAAGATGCAATTGGTGGTAGATCCATTGCTGTTGATCCATTCACTTCTGGTTGTTGTGAATAACAAGGAAGGTGTGGATATGGCTATTTCGAGACACCCTATCTATGTGCACACCATGGAAGAAGCCATGGCTACGGCTCGGTGGAGGAAGTGGAGGGATGTGAGTGCATTGAGGATGCAGATGGATACGTATTGTGAGTATGGGTTGCAGCCATGGACATCCAACAAGCCTTATCCTTCAGGTATTAGATTACACGTCACAATATACTTTTTAAAGAAATCGCTTTTTTTAAACAAATTGTCTGCCTACATATGTAAAATAGAGGAGTGTACAAAAGGATTTTTCCAAGGAAAATTCTACCGTGCATTCCTAAATTTTGAATGCACCGGTACACGCATTTTCTTATCCAATCACAATGTAGAATTGTGCTACTTCACATGATTAACCGTCAAGGACAACTTATTAGGCTTAATGGGATTAAATTGTTTCTTATATCCTTACATTGTTTCTAAAATTCTTAGAAAGGAGTATATGTATATTTTGTAGTTTCTGAAATTCTTAGAAAGGAGTATATGTATATTTTGTTTTCTAAATGGATATTAGGACTTTTATTCCATATTTTCCCTTCCTAATATAAATAAAGTTTAAATATGTTTTTAATCCCCGTAAATATAGTATATTTTGTTTTATATTCGTGCAAAATTATTTTTTGTTTTTCATTCCTGAAATTTATATTGATTTTTCTTTTAATTCGCCACCGATGATAATAACCTCCGTTTGACCTTAAAGTTAATAAACCTGACTAATGGATTCTTCTAATTTTTTAACACATTATTCAAAAAGTATTTAATTTTATTCTTTTAAAAGGTTTTGGATACATATTTTCAAAATGTGAATAATTTGTAATTTGTTGTTTTAACTCTCATATTTATCTCAAAAAAATTATATAAGGATAATTTTAATGTTTCTAGTAGATTTAGGCAACTAGCAATAATTTATTGAGTAAATAGAATAGTTTTGGAGTTAGGTCAGATCTTCGGCGGCAAGCCGGATATTTGGTGGCGGTAGCCAAACCTGGCCAGATGTACGGCGGCGGTGACCAGATCGGCGACGACAAGATCTGGTCAGATGTGCGGCGCTGGCGGCCAGATGTGTAGCGCCGGCGGCCAACGGCGACTGTCGACAGTGCGACTCTCTGACGGCCTTAGGTTTTGTTAAGCTTCAAGGGATACTTCTGTCCAACTACAAATAATAAGTCCTATATAGACTAAATCCCCCTTAGATAATTTTATTCAATTTTTTGTATTTTTTTCTAATCAGATAAAGAATTAAAATACAAAAATGAAAAACAAATTATGTTTATTTAGTAATAATATGAGGTGGCGTAAGATATTGTGGGTAGTAATAATACGGAGTATGATTGTCGGTTAAAAAAGATGTGTACCAAAACACATCAAATTAAGGAATGTACCGTAGAAGCACCCTTTTTCCAAATGATTTTAATATCTAGTTGAGTATTCAATAATTATTTTTAATATAACGGGACATCATTAAGTTAATTATTGTTACTCCACGGATGTCTCCCTTTTGGCTTGCACCAAATTTCTATTATACTTCGTAAAAGTAGAATGATGAAATTGGCTAAATGAGAGTAAAACATGAATAATTGTTCGGATAGAAGTACGGGTAGGCAAACATGTATAGGAACCGCAGTTCGGTTACCATGAAGAAATTCTCTAAATAGAACTAAATCAAGAAATAACTGTTCCGACTTCCGATAGAATAATTGAAATATCATTAATTATATTCTTCCTAACAACATATGACTCATGCACTTATGTTCTCTAAGTTTAACCGGACCTAGGCTATGTTTGGCCCGAGAAGGTGAAAAGATCTTTTTTAGACTTTTTAGTAACTGTTAGCTTTTTTTAGCTGAAAAGCTTGTAGATGGAAAATGCCGTAGCTGTTTCATAAAAGCTGACTGTTTTAAATAGTCACGTTTGGCAAAACTAACTGTTGTAAGTAGCTGAAATTATAAAATTACAATTAAGGGCATGAACAATACTCCATTAATTAATGACAACGCATCTGGAAGGATGAAAACTATGCACAAGTCATTGATATTTATCAATAAGATTCACCATAATACTTCATAGGTTTCAGATTACATTAGTTTATTTCAGTGATCACGAAAAGAAAGGTAAGGAAAAAATTATGAAGAACTAAATTAAATGAATATTATTTCAAAAATAAATAAATGAATATTAGTATTTTTTAAAATAAAAAGCAAGAGTATGTTTTGTTGTAACTGCAGGAAGAAACTCAACACTTTAAACTACTGCCCAACCTCTTTAACACAATAATCAGGAAAAATCCATTAAAAGAATAAAATAAATTAAAGGTAAAACAGTGAGTTGAAAAACCAATTCACACACTACCATAGCAACGAATAACAGAGAGAACTCCCAATAAAAACAATCAAAGCAGACAAAAAAAATATTAATGCTCTGTATAATCGTTTTTAAATTCCTAAAATCAGAGTTCAGAAACACACTCGAATCTAACCTAAATTTTACTCGAATTTGTCAAGTTTAAGTGCAGCACATTGATTATAGATTAGTAAATGATCTTTAAAAAAAAGCAAGTGAACACATGGCTAAGAACAGAGATCAGTGAAGATAAGAATACAAGATTTGTTTTTGAAGAAAGTGAAAACCAGAGAATATGGTGTTGATGAGGAGCGCGCAGGGTATTGCGAGGAACGGCAAATATTAGGAAAAGGTCTTTTGAGTTAACGCTATCTAAGGTAGCATCTCAACCTAGACTTCTCATAAAAGATGTTGGGCCAAACATAAAACTAGAGTCTTTTAAGTTCTTTTTAAATAATAGAGAAGCTAGAAGTTAATGACTTTTGTGTGCCAAACATAGCCCTAATCACCAAACAAGTCGGGAAGAAAATGTGATGTCTTAATTTAAAACATTGTCTATATTTTACTTCTATTTTGAATAATTACTTGAAGTATCGTATTATTTGCCCGGTAACCCTGGGTTTCTATATTGACCATTTTTCTACCTTCAATTCTCATCTATAAAAACCACATTCTTACGTTACTTTTCGTTTTTCAGAATAGTTTTTATATTCGTTCAAAAAAAAAAGAATAGTTTTTATATTTCACAATCTTTATCTAATTCATTTTCTGGTGTTACATTTTATACTCTCATACTTTTTACCCATACAACTTGATCTCATGGTATCAACGACAAAGAATCAAATACAGCAAGTAATAAGAGTGAACATTAGCAGTATTATATCCTTATTAATTAGATACGAAGTAGTACGTAATGTATACGTAGTAGTAAGCGTGTGCCTCTTTAATTACTTGAACCGTTTGGGTTTTCACTCACAATGGTTTATTAACTCATAAATTGGACTCTTAACAAACCTATGTATAATAAAAGTTATACATTACGGAGTAGTGTTGTACAAGTATATATATATATTGGTAGAAATATAACACCACAAAATATTTTATATAACATGACACATGTAACATGCATAGTAAAAAATATGTTGACGTGTTGTACATTATTGGTAAAACCGTAAAACTATGCCGCAGTAGTTAATTAGTCTAAAATCAGACTATGAATAAGAACTTTTTAAGATGAAATGCTTATTATATTAGTGTTAAGACATGTGATTCCATTTTAAAAGGTTAATTGAGGAGTAACTTGAGATCTCAATATTGCACTTTAATACTCGTACTTCATAATTTCCGGCGTGAGACTTGTTTGATTAACCAAACAATCTGACACGCACTCAGTAAAGAAAATAAAGGGGTTTAATGCACCAAACCCCCCTGTGATTTATAAATTCAGCGTATTAGTCCAATGTGATTTAAAAAATGCATCAAAGCCCATTGTGTTATAATTATTCATGCGTACAACCCCCTCCGAGACCAAATTTAATTGCCAATTAAATAAAAAATAATTAGTATTTTTGTATAATTTAACGATCTTAACAAATTTACTTGCATATTTATTCATAACAATAAGATATGTGATTTAAAGTTTGTTAAATTTATTCTTGAAGGGGGTTCTGCGCATGAAAAAACATAACACAGTGTGGTTTGAGGTGTTTTTTGAATCACATCGGACTAATGTGCCAAATTTATATATCACAGGGGGTTTTGGTGCATTAAACCCAAAAATAAAGTAGAATGATCTCATAAAGTAGAAAGATGCATTAGGTTGTCTGATACGTATGCTTCCTTTCTAAGTTTGTAATCTTCTTGAGCCGCAAAGATGAAAATAACGTAAGAAATGATTCTCCATCATCCTAAATAGGAAAAAACAAAGAATGCATTCAACTCGATCATATCGTTGATGGCGTGAAAAAAAAAAAGCAAACATAGAAGGACCAAGATGTTGACTTTAACGTACTCATATAGTAGTCATATGTTTATAGAATATATTGAACGTATAGTACGTAGTATATGACACATTTTATGTTTTGTTATTTATTTTTATACAAGAAATTGCTTAAAATGGGATCAAAACAGAAACAAAATTCGAAAATTATGACAAAATATGCTTTCTTTCTAAATTAGGCGTATGTGGCCCTAATAAAAGAACCAAAGATTAAAATTAAAGCTTCCCTATCTATGAGTGTCTTATTTTTTACTTCGTCATGATTTTGTAAATATCTAGAGGGGGTTTGGATTTACTTTCAAAATTGCTTCTACTCCTTCAAAATGCAGAATCAGATATTGAAGTATTTGAGTGCAAGTACTCCAAATTGCTAGTACAATCAGTTTTTAGAAGTTGGGGGAGACCAGCTTCTGCAAAAACTAATTCTAATTCTGCTTCTTCTTAAAAAACATAAGCAGAATCCTAAACACCCCTAGATCAACGACCAGCCATGTCCCCATATATTTACGCACATGTATAACACCACATGCATAAGTTGTTTGTGTGTATATGTCAAGATAGGTACATACATAAAAATTAGCAAATTGATGAAATTTCTAAATTGGCGGATTTAATTGTTACATTTGTTATGGTTTTTGTAGATGTGCCAGACAGTGCAGTGATAATAAGGAAGCATAGTAAGGCATCAAATCTATTCTCATGCCTCTTATTCAATGAACTAGAATCCTTCAATCCAAGGGACCAACTTGCGTTTGCCTATGTGAGAGACTTGATGAAGCTGAAGCCGAGTATTAACATGTTTGAAGTTGAGGTGTTTGAGCAAGTGGCAGTTGAGTACCGGCACAACCTTAAACGTGACAATGCATGGGCACGACAAGTAGAAGAAGGTCCCTTGATCAAGATGGAAGGTGACACCAAGTGTGATAGGTATCTCAAACAAATGTGGGGTGAATCCAATGATTGATTTTATATTCTTTCACTTATTTTTTCATCAAAAGCTCTATTCATACACAAAGTTTTGTACACTTTTCATACACACATCAAAGTTGTTTGTATAGACACACAACTCGTTTAGAAAAATTTATCAATTATCTACAATTGTTGTGTATTACACGAATTACTTTTTTTTCATTCTTCTTGACAAATATAGTTCGTAACCAATGATTAATTAACGTTATCTATAGAACACCCAAGAGTACTTGTGAAGGTCAAACACTTTTGCAATCAACATTGTTTTCTTTGATTCATTTCCTTTAAAAAAAAACAGCATTTTAATGTCAATGCAAATGCTTTAAGTATTTTATTTTAACCAAGTTGTAAGCCATGAAATCATGTAATTCAGTACAAATTGCATGCTAGTAGATGGTACTCTTGATCGGCGTCTTGAATGTGTAAACACGTTAAGTAGGCTATTATCTCAATTTCTTTCCTCCTTAATTGGGACTCTCGACGCTACCTCATTTAAATTAACAATAAATAAATGAGTAAATTATATAAATAGGAGTAAAACATGCATATAAAGAAGGTGTTCACAAATAGTAGTAGTTTTAAAATTGTGAAAATATGAGCTTTTTGTGATTGGACAAAAATGCCCCTGCCACCATATGCCACTGCCACTTACCATCGCCGGACTTTGACCTCTGGCCGGATTTCAGCCAACGTTCGCCGCCGCCGAAGCTCTGGCTAGGCTAAAAAAGTTCCAGATTTTTTTGACGCAATTCATCCACCGGTTGCCACCGCTACCACCGGACTGCCCTGCCACCGATGGATTGTTGTTGTTGTCCAAGAAAACTAGGGGACAATTAATTAATTAGATTAAGGGTATCTGAGGTAAAAATTTAATGTTTAGTCCTACGTAGGAAAGATTAGAGATTAACTCCTAAGATCATCCTCATTGGTAAGATTATTATGAGATTAAGTGGATGACATGACAGTTTTTTTTAGAAAATCATCATTGAGTTACATAGATTATTTAATGAGATTATTTGCTACAAGAATATTATTGGGTATTAGGGAAGGGAAATGTGGTCGCAAAAACTACATAAATGGTCGCTAATGACTATTTGTGACCAAAATTTGTGGTCGCACGGTCGTCCCTATTGGCTTGGCCGCAAAAAGCTATTTGCGACCGGAAAAAGCAACCCGTCGCTAAAACTTTTTGGGACCAAGAAAAATGTGGACGCTATTGATGTTATTAGAGACTGCAATTTTAAACAAAATGCGACCAGAATCCCTTCGCTAAAGTAAAGAATATACAATACAATAATACATGATTAGCTTTTTGTAATCTGAATGGTTTCACCAACGTACTTTCCATTCCTTACATTTTGAATGTATTTGATTACACATTTACACTAATACGAAAACTAATACGAATATAATATACTGCTCGCTCTCCACCAACAAAAAAACTTAGAGAAATCTGAAATCAACATTGAATCTAAATAAGATCATTAATCTTTAGGTTTAGAATTCAACATTAATCACTAAAATATACTTCAGTTTACATCCCTCAAGCACACTGCTATAAAAAAACTATCTCAAACAGTATACTACACATATAACAAGTGCTTCAGGTTCAACACAAGTTGACTAGCTGATCTTTGTGTTCTTGAGGTTGGTCTTGGTCTCCATGTCCTGCATCTCTTAAGTTTTTTTATTACCTGCAATTGGTCAATTCCGTATGCATTCATATTCTTCTTCACCTTCATGTAATTTGCATTGGCTCCAAGTTGAATCATAGATGACAGATCGTTGACTCCAAAACCAACTACATGACTACATTTTTTAGGTCGAAAACACTTCTTAAGTACATCAATGCATTGTAATGATGGACGTTGTTACCACATGTCACGTGCTTCAACCTGAAAAATTATTAACGAGTTTAATAAATAGCAAAAAGTTAAGAACTTCAAAATTAAGATATAAAATTCAATAATAACATTTTCCTAAATTATTTCTAGTTCAACATGTTGGTGCTTCTTCTGGTGTACAGTACATTTGAATAAAATAATACTACGTAAATTTAAACATATGATTTCATACATAAGCTCTCAGACAAGATCCCAACTAGAAGGCAATAAATACAATGAAAAATTGATCATACACAGAAGTAGACCTTGTACTGCCACCATATCTTCCTGTTGACATCATCTTCATATTTAAATCCTCTTACTACCTGAGGTAAGGTAATCAACCAAAATGCTGCAATGTTGGGGTATTTCATACTCTTAACTATATGGTGCAATGAAAAGCTCTCAGAACTACAAAAAAATGAAATTAAAAAATGTAAACAATGTTCAGAAATTTTAAGCAAAATTTTCAGAAAATCTAAGCAATGCCATATAGTCTCTTCAAAGACAAAATAGAAGCTCTAGTCTATAGGCTTTCAATTTTTTTGCAGATAGATGGATTGGAAACCAAAACATACCCTAACAGGAAATGAATGGTTTTACAATTCAACTCTTTCTCTACGATGAACTGCTAAATGAGATGAAGAAAACAGTCACTTAATCTTGGCCTATATTCCATACATTAAGAGTAATCAATCAATCATATAATAAGATAAAATCAACTAGCACAACTACATATACCTCTTCTGATGCATAAAACTATGCTGAAAGAGTTAGCTTGTTTAACCGACCTCCAGTAGAAAAAATTGACCTGTAAAAATGCATGTATTCTAAATCCACTCTATAAATTAATCCAAAAACATCAAGAAGAGCAAATTTCAAATAGAATGACTGATAAATTTCAAGTTCACGTACTTTCACTTCACAGGACATATGTGAGGTGTATATATCTACACTCAAAAGCTCACATTCACTTATGGAATAACATTCAGAGAAATTAAATAAGTACTTCTAAGATAATACAGGGATAGAATGTAGGATTACTTAAACATTTTAGCACCAAACCTATTAATAATGAACTGACAGCATATATCGACTTTAAAACACCAAATTATCTTAGGTTGATACTGACAACATATTAGCATGACTTGATGGAACAATGCACACTTGAAGAAACATATTCCCAGAGGGATGTGCTGATAAATTAGCTTTATTTAGAGTTAAAACTGGAATATACTTTACCCACTTTAAGCCACACACACATATATATTACTCTCAAATTACAAAACAGCTATGAAAAAACTCATTCAATTTCAACGAAACAAAGGAGAGTTACCTCTAAGGATTATTCACAAACACCTTATAGACATCACATTCAGGGCACTTCAGCAGAATAGGTTTCACGAACACATCTCCAGCAAATTGAAACCAATATCCCTTAACATAACATAATTACAACAAAAAACATTTATAGAATTAGGGATTGAAATCAATCTACATAAAATTCTTATAATACCATTGAAAGATACTTAAAAGATAGATAGATATATTTTGAAAAAATATTTAAGTCTATACCATTGAAAAAGGGAAAGCTTCTCTTATCCAATAACTTCAGTAAACTACAATCAATATTAAATAAAATTAGAAATCTAAACCCTAAAACTTAACAAAGAAGGCATATAGAAATATCAGAACCTGGAAGAGGATTACGCCAGAAGCTACTGAAGAGGCGGTGTGAAGATGGTGTATCACAAGTTGCAATCTCATAGGCTGAGTATAGAGAATGTTCTCGCTACGAGGAATGGAGATGACCAGGAGAAATCATGATATTATAGTCAAGCTGTATGAGATCGGCGACTTGGGCAGGGAGGCTCCCTATCGGTGATTTACGTCTGAGACAGGGATTGGAGGACTACCAGTAGTCCAGTACTCGCCGTTGGAGCAGAGTCTGGGGCTGGCGGTACAAATTTCATCAACACTGCATCAGGGATACTTCGTGGGTGCGTAGTCCAGCCTTCAGTCGTCCGTGAACAGAGACATACAGATCCGGTGACCAATTTACCAAAACAACGAACAGAGACCTACAGATCTGCTTGAGATCGATACTGGGCGGTACACTGGGCAAATAAAGGTGAGCAACATGTATTCCTCTCAGGATCGACGACTCTGGAATTCCTCAAGATTGAGGAACTTAGGGCAACTAGCAGCGCAGAGGGCTAGAGATAAACGAATGAAATAAGAAAAACCTAAAACCAAACATTTTAGGCGCTTTAATTTTTTCACTGTACCGCCCAAAGTAAAATTTTAGGGACCGGAAATTAGGGTAAAGGCGAAGACAAATTAAGGTAGCCGCAAATGATTAATCCTTTTGTGACCAGGTAAAAAAGAGGTCGCTATTACCTACCTATTACGACCATATTGTACATCAGTCGCAAATTGATGGTCGCAGATACCCGTTTTTCTTGTAGTGAATCTAGGATCAAAATATGAATTCAGATTATTCTAAAATTATTTGAAAAATATGTGTAATAGAGATTAATGCAGGACAGAGAAAAATCATAGTATTTGAAGATGATGATTGAGAGGCATAAACGAATTTTGAGATTATTTTAAATTAATTACATAACAATATTTAAATGATAAGACTGATAGAAAAAATTGATTATTAGAGATCATGAATGGAGATGCTCTAATAATTAAAAAGAACTTAACAACAAATAAAAACAACTCCGTCATAATTATAATGTTCACTCTGTTTCTTCTTGTTTCATCCCTTTTATTTTTTAGCTTATTTTAAAAGAAAAGTACATTAATTAGTAATAATGAAATAAAAAAGTTAAATTGTCATTACAAATTAATATTTGACACACAAATATCAATTTTTTTATCAACGTTACTCCACTAGTGACAATATATATGTAATTGTCCATGGGGATTACACATCATTAAATGTGTTGAGGTTTAGTCCTTCAACCCTCGGGTCCAACACGTAAGCCCAAGGATTTCGAATGATGTGGTGTATGTGTATACGGATAATCTAGCCCAACTAACAAGTAAGATGAAGTAAAGAGGCAGGAAAGATAGCAAGTAAGAGATCAGGTATTATTAATCAGCTAATAACTCCCCAATACAATAAGCTTGCTTAAGGCTCGTCGGCCTTTCGTCCTACAAGGCAGTATAAGAGCTGCGAATAGGAGAATACAGCTAGAGTGCTAAGAATAGTAAGTTGCCAACCCTTTACAA